ACGAAGGGAAACGTTGGAATTTTCTTTTCCTTTACACAGACACACAGGCACACAGATACACACACACACACACACACACACACACACACACACACACACACACACACACACACACACACACACACACAGACCCGCGCGCGCACACTCAAAAGAAAGTAAGAAAGAAAGAAAGAAAGAAGAAAAAAAAATGTTCCCCTTTTCTTACAATATTATACAGGTCGGTACAGTGGAATGAAGGCGGTAATTAGTCAAGAAAATTAAATTTACGAATACGGTTTCCCAAGTGAATTCGTGTAGACTCGCTGAAACATCACAATTGAAAGCTGTCATGATCCAAAGTTGCAAGATTATCTCCTTATTTCATTCAATAATAGCATCAGTTTGTTAATTATACGTATATTGCCTCCAATAGGGAATACGCAGGTCATAGAAGTTTCTAGTGATACTAATATTCAATATTACATTGATGAAGTATGTAATTGATATCAGTTCCATGATTGACATTAATTACATGAACAATGCGAATTACATGATAAACAGCTGAGTTATGTAATTAGTGTAATTAGTATATTTTATTGAGTATCAATATTATGTGTGAAAACTTACGGTTATATCAAGGCTAATAAAATTTGCTGAAATCTCTCTCTCTCTCTCTCTCTCTCTCTCTCTCTCTCTCTCTCTCTCTCTCTCTCTCTCTCTCTCTCTCTCTCACACACACACACACACACACACACACACACACACATACATACATACACACACACACACACACACACACACACACACACACACACACACACACACACACACACACACATGCACACACACACACATACACATACAATTAGATAAACAGATTTATTTGTACCTAGTTGAGGACAAAAGTCGTGACAGTGAGTGAAGTAACCGAATTAACGTTAATTAAGGTTACATTATTTGGCTGTTCGAGACGGAATTCAAAACATGCTTGCCAAGAGTTTTAACCGTTACTTTACATGTGTGTGTGTGTGTGTGTGTGTGTGTGTGTGTTTGTATGTGTGTGCGCGCGTGCATAAACAGTCTATCATTCCACCTTTTGTTTCATTGTATTGTTGACAGAATACGACTTCATTAGAGACTGATATCATATTAAAACATACCATATATAAGGAGGCAAAAGATGCGCAAAATTTCGACGACGAATACCACAGGCAACATCCCGAATACAGTGTGGGTACTATTATCATTAGTTACCTGGGTTTTAATTACCTGGACGGCAGGTGGGCGGGTATACTGCTCTTCCCCATTTCACTCCAATTTCCCTGTGTACAATTGGACCCTCGCTCCACGTGTCAGATATTCTTCTTGTTTTAGCAAGGTAAATTTCGAAGGAAGATAGATGTGTTTAAGGGACACATCATTATTTCTCCTTTTTTATTTTCTCTCTAACAACATGGTAGATCGTGAAGGTAGATAGATAGATGGAGGGAGATGTAGATAGATAGATATAGAGAGGAGATAGATGGAGATAGACAGATAGATAGATAGATAGATAAATAGATATAGAGAGGAAGACAGGCAGACAGATATATAGTAGAGAGAGAGAGAGAGAGAGACAGAGAGAGAGACAGAGACAGAGACAGAGACAGAGACAGAGACAGAAACAGACAAACGGACAAACAGGTAGGTCGATAAAGAGAGAGATGGATCCCAGCATCGGCCACGGAATAAAATCAACGAGGCATAGCACAGAACGAGGTAAATATTACCATGACGGGCCTTCTTTGAGTTCCACCTCAGCGACTCGCATAAATATTTATTCCTTTGCGTCATCATGCCGCTTCCCTCCGATCGGATGTGCTAGCTATTACATTAACATCTCGGCTGAATACAATTTTACAAAGGGACCTCATTTTCATACAAAGGACATTTTGTCGCTCGGTAATCGGTTGTGCATTCTATTAAGGGAAGGCAATGTTTTATTGATAGTGTGTTTATTCACATGGGAGCGCTGTGGGTATCCCCCCCCCCTTGGCTTCTTAGGGGTTGCTTCTTCTGTGGTTGAATTTACGGTTTGTATGTGAGTGTTTTTCTGTTGGATTTGTGTGCATTGCTGCTCTTTCTATAGCTGTCTTAAGAACTTGCTGGACTTGGCTTTATATAGGTTGGTGCTGCTTTTGTAGATACCCCCAAGAAATTATTTTCAATGGGAAACTCGTGTGTTTCTATTTATTCCGCGGGTGTTGTTGCTCCATCTGTAGTTGCCTCAAAGCTTTGAGTATTTTCCCGTTGGCTTCATAGAAGTTGCTCCTCTTCATAGCAGTTGCATAGAAGTTGCTATTCCTTTAACGGTGTCACATCTTGAGGGGACACCGTTAAAGGACTAGCATTAACCATCACCAAAAGGGTATCCTTACAGTTACAAAGACCGTGAGTGGTTGGTTAAGCGTGATAGACATCACAATGCCAGGGTAATGCCATGTAGATCAGCAGAAGGCAGAGGTGAAACTGACCCTCCAAGGCACCTATACTTTGACCTTTTCATCAGCGTGCAAACTCATTTACCTCTTTATTCGGTCCCCTTATGTGTTTCCCTCTCTCTTTTTTTGTGTTTTAACTTTCATTTACTAATACATTTTGATTCTTTTCCTTTCTGTGTTTATTCGATTATGGGATGTTTGCTTTGTCTGCCATGCTTACAATAATAACAAGGATAATATGATTAATTATGGACTAATTTGATGTTTTCTCTCTGTCTCATTTATCTAGAAACAGTTATACAGTGAATGATAGATATCCTGAAATATTTGATCTGTCGCGTAGCTATCTATCAATACGTGTGTGTAGAAAGAGAGACAAATAAAAACAAAAACATACAACCTGCGACTGCAAATATAACTGAGCAGACAGATATATGTGCTGTATATATGCGTGTGTGTATATATATACATACATACATACACACATGTATACATATATACGTACATATACATATATATGTACATATATATGTGTATGTATGTGTGTGTGCAGTTATATACAAGATTATATATATCGAAATATATTGTTTGTGTTTATATGTTTTGGATTCATTATGTTTATATTTATAACTGCTATGTCTCACTGTCAAACCAGAACCTTTTAATTTGCATAATTGGTCTTCTAATTACCTTATCACCTGGTTCTCTGTTTCATCACCGATAATGAAGACCTATGACACCTTTGAAACGTTTGTAAAATAAAGATGAAATTCTTCACAGGCATACGTTCCTCTTCGTTCTCACGATCTGACGCCTGAGTGGAAAACCCAGTACGGAATATATATATATATATATATATATATATATATATATATATATATATATATACAGAAATATACATATACATACATATATATATATATATATATATATATATATATATATATATATATATATATATATATATATATATGTGTGTGTGTGTGTGTGTGTGTGTGTGTGAGAGAGAGAGAGAAAGAGAGGGAGAGTGAGAGAGAGAGAGAGAGAGAGAGAGAGAGAGAGAGAGAGAGAGAGAGAGAGAAACAGACAGACAGACAGAGAGGCAGAGCGAGGGACAGAAGGAGACAATAAGATACAGACAGCTACTAAATTAGAGAAAAATTAGCACTAAAGCAAAAGCTAACAGAAAAAAAGAACACAGTGTTAAACCAGCGTAGTTTCATCTCGTTAAGCCCATGACAAATGCAAACACCTCTGGACCCATTACCGTGAGTGCGCCATGCCTGTTTAATCATTGACGATCCTTTGCATTATCTTAAGTTCTCCCTTTCATCCACTACTTTATAATAACGTCTCCTTTTTACCCCCTCCCCCCCCCATCCTCCTCCTCCCCCTCGAAAATCCGTCCATTGCTATTTGTTTTTGAAGAGTCTACACATCCAGTCGATTGAAAGTTGGAGTCGAGAGATGAAAGCGAGGCTGCAACCAGAAAACGTATTGACTCTCACTCTCCCATCTTGCAGACAGAGAGGTAATTTGGTTCTCTTCTCTTACAGGAGGCTGGGTTAAGAATGATCGAGTCGTATTCTTTGAGGAGGGGGGGGGGGATTTTAACCCTTTAAAAGAGGTTTGGAAAAAAAGAAAGGAAGAACGATTCGTAATTTTAGAATGAATAAAGGAAAAGCATGAAGAAAAGGTAGTGAAAATGATGGTATTTTCTGGATTTCTCTTTTTATGCATTTGCATCCTTATACTTACAATAGCAATGAAACAAACAAACAAACAAACAAAAAGATAAGAAGTAAAGAAAGAGACAAAGAAAAAAATTAAGACATTTTTTGAATGAAAGAAAGAAAAAGAAAA